GTATCAGCACTGTCCTTGACTCCTYRTTTGTGTTAGTTACAGGACTCTCATCAGGCCCACCTACAAAATGTCCTACAGAACGGTGACCACGCTGGAGTGGAGGTGCTGTCCTGGCTTCACGGGGAGCAACTGTGAGGAGGGTGAGTTACCCAGCAATGCCTCTGTCCTGCAGAGCAGCGAGGATGGACGGGCTGCCTTGAGCTGGACTTTGTTCCTTCATTTGCCCTGCACCTCTTAAACATAGGAACAAATCACCTGTTCCCTTCCCATTGTTACCAGAAAGTCACACACAAACTCTGAAAGTTGGTCTTGGAATTCAGATCATTCAGGCAAACAGGCCTGAACAGGGAGGGGGGAAGAAATGAGGAAAAGAGGAATCAGACATCACATGTTTAGAGATGTGTGCCTTCTTGTGTTCAGAAAATGTGCTTTCTCCTTTTTGTGTTACCTTCTCTATGTCCCTGCCATCACCTTCAATTTCTGTAGCCAATAAAAGCTGGTCTCTGGCTGGCTGCTTCTGAAAGTTTTATGCCTTTAAGGTCTGGCATAAATAATGTGTTCCCAGAGAGCTCTGAATCAGTACCTTTGGTTCCCCTTTCTACCCCCTCCTTGACTTAGTGGTGCAGCATTCAGGTTGCACAGTGCATGTGAAACCACAGTTCTGGGTTTGGCATCGCACAGAGTGAAACACAGGGCTCTTTCCAGAGCAGGAAGAAAAAGTATTTTCCTTTTTTTTAATCACAATAGGGCACGTTTTACATTTTCTTTCCTAACATTTTCTAGTTTGACTGTTACTTCTGGGGGTTAAAACAAGTCCTGCTTTCCACCAAGTTTCAGGTTTAGGCCTTAAGGCATCTGCTGGACCTGAGGGTTCACAGCTTATGAATGGGACAAACTAAGCCTGGAGTTTTCTKTTCATTTCCATCAGGTCAGCACAGCCTGTCTCTGGCTGCTGAAGGGTCACTGSGGGTGTCCAGCATCTCTGATTGTACTCATTTTTTTGTGCCATCTTAATACCAATCACACAATTCAGACAAATCTCTGAGTAGGAAGTCGTCTCGCTACTGTCCCAAAGAGTGATGGCTGCAGACAACAGCTGGCTCCAGGCTGCTGAGGAAACAACAGCTTCCCAGAAGCTCCAGAAAACCTTTACCAAGTGGCAGAGCTACCCTGAGTTGTGGTCTGCAGGAGAGAGCTTTACATTTTAACACGATGTTAGAAGAGGAGAGCCTGCCAGAGAAGCTGCTGTGTGCAGCTTGGGTTTTCACTGTCGCTGAGGATGGAGGGTGGCAGAGCTGTTCCTTCTCCCTGCAGCTGGGTGAGGATGTGCCTGGGGAGCCCCTGTGCCTGGCCAGGTGTGAGTTACTGCAGCTTAGTGGYGCAAAGCAGAGCTCCCAGCTCCCTCCCGCAGTGCCAGATCTGCCTCAGCACAGCTCGGTGGAAATGAAAAACCAACAGGAGCTCGTTTGAGGGAGCCGGCAGCAGCGGGTCTGTGGAACGAGGTGACAATTTTATACAGTTACTTTTCAAGGTGGAACTGTTCTTCTGGGCTTGGATATGGTCTGTGGAGTGTGAGCAGAAAGCCAGCAGTAAGCCCTCACTTTGATGTGTGAGATTCTTTTTACCTTTTTTTTTCCCTCTCCTTAAAACATCTGGTGCTACCGACAGTCCCATATTCTTGAATGAAAGAGGAAAATGAAAAAAGACCTCTTTCTAGTACACAGAGTTGTGCCACTTAGTTTTTAGTGTAAATACTGGTGCTAGTGGTCTGCATGGCCCTTCAAACTGTCAATTTTAAAATGGAAATATTTACTTACTCCTTATGTTAATTCTTAATGTTAGTGTCACTTGGAAATGTAAGGAAAAGAGGATAAAAAGAGGCTGTTTCAGGGTATTTGGCAATCCAATATAAAGTCTTTTGTACTCTTTCCTTTGTGTGCTCTCTCGTATGGTTCCTCTGAGAGGGTGGGATGCTTATCTATGTGAGTTCTTCCTGGAAACAGCAGACAAAAGGAAACACAAAACTAAACTGAAGCACAACAAAAACAGTGCAGTGATGAAGCCACATTGAATTAGCAGGGTAGAACCACAGAATGCTTTCATCTTTCTTTGGTAGTTAGATTTCCCCTCAATATTTCATGTCACTTGCATGAAGCTGATGTGAGGCAGGTGTGACTGGAGGCAGCCTGGAYCTGCACTGTTTCCAACTTGTCTTCTTGCTGAGCTGCAGACCCTCCTGTTCTCTGACTGCTGCTCCCCATGAGCCAAAGGAATGGCAGCTGCAGTGACTCTGAGCTCCCACTGCCCCATTTCCTGCTCCAGAGACTGAAGGGAAATGCTTTCTTTGCCAATGGGTCTTGGAGCAGTGAGGTTGTGTTTCCATCAGTGGGGTTGATTAAGCCCACAGCCGAGTTCTGGGAGCTGGGATATGGTGGTCTTTGCATCCTGGTGCTTTAAGATCCATCTTTAAGATCTACTGATTCCTTCTTTAATCCCCAGTGAGCAGGGTTGACATTTGCTCCTTTTTTGTGCTGTGCTGGAGCAGTGTCTTTGCGGGAACCACTGCAGCATATCTGGGGAACAGATTATTTTTACTAGTTGTCCTTACATCAAGCCTTCCTTGCCTTTTTAAAATTTATTTCTTTTAGCATTTTACGAGGGAAGACAAGATGGGGAGAGGGTGAAGCAAAGAAAGAAGTCAAAGAATTTGAAATTGTTCAGAGGCTGCAGCTGTTTCTGATGTGCAGAACTTGTTGTGGTCTCCCCAACGGCAGAAGGAGCAGTTCAGGGTGCCTATGCAGCCCCAAAGTGTGACAGACTCCTGGTGACACCTCCAGCAGGAAAATTCCCTTTGCACAGCAACTGTCCTCTGCTAGAGCAAGCTGTTAAATGCAATTTGATCATTAAAGTGTCTCCATCCTCAGCTAACAAGTTTAGCTTGAGACAGTGACTACTTCACTGCAGCTGGCAGGCACCTACATWAATGCTGAAAGCTGCACATTTTTAGGTTTAAATTCTCCCGGGATTTTAACTCCTGCATTGAAGCTGATAAAGAGCAGCATTGTCTGGAGGAAGCCCAGCTCTAGAGGTGCACGGAGATTTTGCTCTCAGGGAGCCATTAATTTACTGAGATAAATTAACCTGTTTCCAGCCTGTTTCCTTTATTGAGCCGACACTGCTTGGGGCTTTCTCCTCCTYCCTTCATGACTTTCCACTCAGCCCAAGGTATGTCAGCGTTTGAAAGATCTCCCATTCCTTTATTGGTTTTGTGGAACTGTGGCCTGCTCACTTAGTCAAAAATCACCAGTTTGTACCAGGCCTTCCCAAAAGGTTTCTTGCAACTTCCTTGGATGGAGAAAGAGACTCGATGCAAACCAGTCTGGTGAATATAACTGTCACTAGATGCTAACTTTTTATTTTCCAGTTTCAGGGGGTTTTTGTTTTGTTTAAAGTGGAGCCCAAGCCCAGGACAGGAAATGAATGCACYGAGCCACCCAGTCTGCTGACTGCTGATATGAAGAACATATGGATGAGGGCAGCGCAGGGGTGAAGTGGTTTTGCCGTTGCAATCATGCATCAAACTGATTGATTCGAATCCAAGATGATGCTGACATTTCAACTCAGCCTTTTTTTTCTGTATGGCTGGAAGTTCAAAGGCAAGTGCAACCTCTTGGGAGAGGAAAAGTGTCCCCAGCAAGTTCAGGGGCTCAGCACTGCCCTGGAGCTCTCCAGCCAGGCAAGGGCTTATTTTGCTTCACAAATATAGCATAGCTTTCTTCCTTGTTTGTTTGTACTGCTTGAGTTTGGGACAGTAGCCAGGATCCTACTTACCCCAGAAGCAGATTGATGGTAGACAGCTCAGCTGGGCAAGAAACAGCTCCCAGGGTAACCTTAGCACCTCTAAAGTGATGCTTTTGTCATTTCAAGATTACTTTTTTTTTCTCTCCATAAGAATGCAAATAAGATAGGAAATTTGAGCAGCCTTATTCAAATAATGGTTTAATTGGAGAACTTCTTTTACTTTATTTCTACCCCTCCTCATTTCAGTTCTTGKAATATTATCTACTTTTAATAACTATTGTTTGCGTCTTTCTTGTCATCCTGGTATTTTTCAAACCTCTTGGATTCCCACGTGTTCACAGTTTTCAAAGCAGCATAAGAAAGYGAGGACTTTCCTCTTGGTATGACAGAATGCAAAAACCCTTTTATTTTTTACTGCTGGTTCACAAAATTTCTTGGTCCCAGGAGGAGAGATGCAGAAAAACACTGCCAGGAAAGTCTTAAAAGAGCAAATGCAATTACAAGACAAAATCTGATGAGACTGTGAGAAAGAACATCAAAACAAGAGACCTGAAAGTTTGAAAGCCCCTTGAAGTGCTCTGAAGGGAATTCAAAGTGGTGTTGATGGGACCTCGCTTTTCCAAGTCTTGTTTTCCTCCCCCGTGAACCATCAGAACACAAAACTTTCCATGTATGTGAAAATGCATCACGGAGACCACAGAGTAACATTTCCTGTAGCTCACAGCATTTCTCCCCAGCGGTTGAGTTTGTTCTCCTTTTCTCAAGTGCTTCTTCAGCAGAGTTCTTTGCTGCCCCTGAGCTTTTTCATCTTCCCTTAGAAACTGAGGAAATGTGAAAGAAAGCAGCAGGAGTCAGAGCCATCACCCTGCCTGCTCCTGCTGAGTCCTGGTTCAGTGATGTTTGCCCATTTTAACTGAGCCCAGCTCCTGCCATAAAACAAAAATTTCCTTGTGAACAGTRAAATTCTCCCCAAGGTAATTTTCTCAGTGCTCTCTGGCTGGCTGGGCAGTTCTGTTCCCCAGACTGTGGCAGATGGAGGTTCCTTCCCTTCAAGTTTGTATCTAACAGATCYCTGTAGTTCTCTACTAGAGACTGGTTCAGCCATTCCTGTAGTGAAATGTGACTTAGCTCTCGTTTGAGACCTCTGAAACCAAGTACAACATTTGGTTCCACGGAACAAATTTGCTTCTAAAAATATCTTCTCATGCCAAAGTTTGTCTGTTAGATACAATAAGTGAATTATGTGAATACATGTTACAGACTATAAAGTGTAATGTGAATTTACTGATAGTTTTCTAGCTAGTAAGTAGGTGGTAAAAGGTGGTAACTATCTCTGTAA